GGACCCTAACTGCTTACAATTGGGGCAAGAAGTCTTCAGCAGACTTGGCAGTGTGGAGAACTATGTCTTCAACCTCACAGTTTGGCTAATTCCAAGTAAAGGGTAAAAATGTTTAAGCAGTGTGACAATTAGACAATCTACATAATCTAGATTCTAGAAGAATCACTTTGGCCACACGGGGGAAAAGATATTGCAAAAAGGTAAGACTGGCAAGAGATGGTAATGATGATGGGAATGGAGAGAGACATATTTATGAGATATTTACAAGGCAAAATTAATAAGCCTTGAATGAATGTGAGGGAGGAAAGGAGAAATCAGGGAGTATCAGATTTTTTTTGTTTTAGGGGAGCTGGAGGATTGAATTCAGTTTTGGACAGTTTAATTTGAAGAGCCTTTAGATACCCAGGTGGAGCTTTCCATTACCAGGGATGGAGATAGAGTCAGGAGGCTTTAGCATAACTACAATACTGAAGTCATGTGAGAGACTGATAATGAATAGGGACAAACAAGTCAACCAGACTAGAGAAGAAGGTCAAGGACAGAACACCAACATTAAAGGGATGGGCAGAATATTAAAAGCTGACAGAGAAGAAGTGTGGCAGCCTGTGAGTTAGGAAAAAAACCTGGAAAGTACAATTGACACTGAATGGTATTTGTTTTCTTCTTTTTGCTTATATGAATTTTCTCCACATCTTACAGTGAACATTACTTTTTTTTTTTTTTTTTTTGAGACAGAGTCTCACTCTGTTGCCCTGGCTAGAGTGAGTGCCGTGGCATCAGCCTAGCTCACAGCAACCTCAAACTCCTGGGCTCGAGCGATCCTTTTGCCTCAGCCTCCCAAGTAGCTGGGACTACAGGCATGCGCCACCATGCCCGGCTAATTTTTTCTATATATTTTTAGTTGTCCGATTAATTTCTTTCTATTTTTAGTAGAGACGGGGTCTCGCTCTTGCTCAGGCTGGTTTCGAACTCCTGAGCTCAAACAATCCGCCCGCCTCGGCCTCCCAGAGTGCTAGGATTACAGGCATGAGCCACCGTGCCCAGTCTAAACATTACTTTTTAATAAGAAAAAATGTGTAATTTAAAAATGGATATTATATAACCTGCATCCACGTATTTTTCCATTTATATATGTAAATGAGACAAAGTTTAATGATTTTCTGACCTATCTCAAAGTCATTAATGACTCACACAATTCTATATAACTGAATTAGTAGTGTCGATAACTAATTTTCTTTTCCAAGCCATTTTTAAAGTGCCCATCCTCATTACTACTGGAAACCATCTGGAACTACTTAACTTTGCCAGGCTGCTGGGATATCTGTCTCCCCCTTGGGAAGTTCAACAAACACTAAACGAATAACCGAGGAAACAACTGTTCTGAAAATGTGATGACATATAGCTCTAGTAAAGACTTCAGAGTATTTATTTCTTTTGGATTAAAACAAATAGATTTATCCTTAGTGTTGTACAGAGAAATTAAATACATAGTACTGACCTATATAACCTACAAAAGTAGCCTCATAGTCAGTCATATCTGCTGTAAGATCAATTATAAATTTGCAAATTATTTCAAAGTTATATCTCACCTCCACTTTTTCAAAGAACCTCTCGTTAACCTCAGAGATCCTAAGATTATGTCATTAGAAATTATTTTAATCTCTTGAAGGACATTTAAATTTAGAGAAAGGAATAAAACACAGGTCATTTTTATACAAGCAGCTTACGGTTCCAAATCACTGGAATTTTTTTTGAAAAGTAACACACTAATTTAGCAAAACCTCTAAAGTATTACATGAATTTATTACTGATTCTTGAGATTTCATAAACTGAAACAAATTTGATTAAATGGTCCCTTAAAAAAGCATTTATAGTCCACAACAGAACTCTTTCTCATCCAAGGGGATTTTTGCCATTTTTGAATTATTATTTTTAAATGTTAAATATTATTCTTATCTAGTAGAGAAATATCTAAGTACAATTTTCCCATTTTTGAAGCTTAAAGACAAAAATTTAACCCTAAATAATATCGCTCTGAAAACGTTTAAGTTGCTAATTATAACTATATTTTGTTCATTTAAACCTGGATCTTATCTAAGTAATTGCTTGTTTTAAGTTAGTCCTGAGCTGAGTTTACCAAAATGAAGAATGAAACATGGTTTTAAGTTAGTCCTGAGCTGAGTTTACCAAAATGAAGAATGAAACATGGTTTTAAGTTAGTCCTGAGCTGAGTTTACCAAAATGAAGAATGATACATGTCTGATGTTCTTATTCTAAAACCTGAGTGAAGCAAAATAGAGAAAAATGTCACCATATTACTTTCTTAAAAAGTAAAATTTCACTCAGTGTATACATAAATCAGTATTGAGAAGCACCTTTATCTCTTTTTTCTTCAGAGAACCTCGATCTGTTTAACAGCTCTATATTGTATATTTCTGAACTGACAGAAAAAACACACTAGAGACTCATGAAACAAATATTAAATGCAGTGATATTTTGTTCTTACACTAGTCCCAACTACCAGATTGGTGAGTATATACTTCAGCTAACTTCATTTAGAAATGTTAGCACCATTTGACAGGCATGACACTGTTAAGAATTCCCAGATAAACAGTTAGTGGGCAAATGAGAAAATATTTAGGAAAAAAAAATCTTTACTTTCCCCAAATAAGCAATTCCAACATATTCATAATCAGATTATTTAAAAGTATTTCCTGGGAAATTTGAGAAACCAACATTTTAAATACATCAGTGAGAGTTTTGAGGTTCAGAGATTATACTGAAAATGTTGGAATAATTTGTACATAATTTGTCAGTTCTGAATTTGGATCCATAGCTTTCTCATCTGTAAAATGAAGTGCTTGGAAGGAAAAACGATGTATCCCTGCAGAGTCTTCCAGCATCGATTCCTGTGACTTAAGTCATATGCTTTTCTTTTATAAATAAAATAAAAACTAAAAGCATCATTATGGTTTTTAAAACTGTAAAGGACCTTAAAGATACTTTACATAAACAAGCCAGCCATTTTACATCTCAATAAAAATTCGTTAATAGATTCTGTACAAAACACTGTATAAATGATGAAATCTCTGATTTAAGGGAAAATATTTTCCAACTTTAATTTTGCTAGTTTTATTTCAAATCCAAACTTCTGTTCTCAACTAGATGGCCATTTTATCATTTTAATCTTTTTTCTAGTTTATATTTGTATGGAAATTAATCTTGCTTCCCTTCCACATGAAAAAACATATATCTTCTTACCATCATATTTATATAGGTTTCATTAAAAACAAATAAAAAACCTTCTTGAATGGCAAATGTTTGGAGTTGTATTAAGCTAATGACCTTTTTCTGGACATTCTCTACTGTTTGAATTGTTTCTTTAATTCTGTAACTGCATTGGTAAAGGTAAGAATTAACTGTCAAAACAGAACTAGTCTGATGCTGAGATAAATTCCTTCACTTTGGTAAACATTTCCATTTTATTTTAAGCAGGAAGCTTTATCTGTCTTTAAATAGTGTAAAAAAAAAGACATTTCATAAGTCCTTTTCTATTATAGTTTACAAAGACTAGAAAGAAATACTTTAAAATGCTAATACTGTTTATCTCTGGGTGGTGGTATTACACACTATTTTATTTTTTACATTTCTCCAAAAGCATTATTACTTTGGTAATCGAACAGTATTTTTACATTAAATTTTATGTAGCTTATAGTGTGAGACATCAACATAGTCTACTTCTACAGGAGATTTGTTAAATGCTTTTTCCCTATTGATAAGAGGCTGGTTTAACAGGAGAATGATTTGGTCACGTGTCTCTAGGTTGGATGAAGACAAAACAGCTTTATTTACCAGGCCCCTCTTTTATTTAGGCTTTTGAGAAAATCCAAGAAGTGAGTTTGAACTTAATTACAGTGAATCATGCAGTAGTAAACTTTTTGGGTGCCCAGAGTAACACCTTTAATTACAACTAACAGCTGAATGGTAAAAAGACTTCCAGGTTTATACAATGTTTTCAGAGACTTGTTAGTATTCTCCTCTGTCATTATTTCAGAACAATTCCATTTAAAAAGAAACGCAATTGTAAACCGTTTCTATTTCAGGCCCATAAAACCAGAACTGGGCTGAAAGGCAAAGCCTTGACCTTTCTATTTTAGACTTGCATCTGTGTAGCTAAGCCATCTGCTTTCTCCCCACCCCATCTACTTAATGGACTGAAAATACTGCACCTAATTGCAATTTTATCGAAACGGACCGGCTTCCACTTGAACGAATTATGACTCTGTCTTTCACCTGAAGGCTCGCTTGCACAATTTTGCTTACCATTCCCTCCCAATTCCTTCCCACCTCCCTCAATTATGAGTTGTCAAATGTCTTTAAACTAAGATGCTAGGCTCCCGTGTATTAAGCCATCTAAAGAGCTCTTCACTTTCAACACTGAGCACCTAACGGAAAATCTACTCCAGTATCTCCTCATTTGGATATTATCATTGTTGCAGTTACGCAGGAGGAACCTCGCAGCTCAGCCTAGAAAGGAGTCGCATCTCTCTGCCACCAAACAACAAGGGACCCAGCCTGGGAAAAGACAGACTAGGGTGGGAGAAAACCTCCGGGAGGAAAAAGGGAGCTGGGAAGAAGAGGGAGCTCAAGACTGGGAGGAAGGACCTTCCAAGGCAGGAAAAGGAGAGGGTGTGTGAAGTGAAGCAAGAAGCGGGCGGCCGAGGTGAAGGGGGATGAAGGGGCCAGGGCCCGGCGGGAGGGCGCGAGGGGCCCGGAGAGCGGCTCCAAGGCCCGGCGGGAGGCGAGGGGGCCGAGGCGGCGTGGGCAGCTCGCAGCCGACCGCCCGAGTCCGAGCAGCGGGGGCGCTTTCAGCGGCGGCAGGCGCGGATGCCGGGGAAAAGAGCAGAAAAGAGAGCAGTTTAAGGGGCCGAAGGAGTCGCGTCCGAGGCCGGCGCGGCGGGGACAGTGGGCCCACCCCCAGCCAAGCCCCGCTACTTAACTATTTGTAGAGCTGCTGCAGGCACAGGTCCAGGCTCTCGCCTTCCACCTCCTCGCGGATGATGCGCTCCGACAGCGGCCGCGGTAGTGGGGGCAACGGCGGCAGCTGGGGCTGCGGCGGGGGCGGCACGGCCGAGTGCCCCGGGACTACTGCCGCTGCCTCGTCCTGCTCCTCGCCCTCTACCGCCGCCGCCTCCTCCTCTTCCACCGCCTCCTCCTCGGGCTCCGGGTCTTGCTCCTGCTCCCTCTCCTCCGTGGCGGCTACCGTGGCCGCCTCCTCCCCGGTTTCCTCAACTGAAGCCTCGGCCGCCTCAGCTGCTACCAGTTCAGGCTCGGGCTCTGGCTCGGACTCGAGGTCGGGTTCCGGCTCCGGCTCGCCGCCGCCGCACGGTCCTCGAAACTCGCCCAGGAATAGCTCCAGGAAGCGCCGGTAAGTTTTCTCCTCAGGGCTGCAGCCTGCCATCGCTGCTCATGCCCGGGGGCCGACCGGGGAGGGAGTGGAGTGGAAGCCCAGGAAGGCGAGGGGGCTGCTTTTGAGCTTCGGGCTCCCGCAAGGGCCGTTAACAGCCGCACTGGCACGAGCGATCAGCACTAGGTTGCCTGGAGAGGGCTCCCGCAGGCGTGCGCGCCGCCGAGCGCGGACGTGCGCGGCCCGGGGGCGGAGCGCGCCGTCCCTCTCAGGTCTGGAGGGAAAGTTGGCGGCGGGCGCGCGCGCAGGGTCCGGTGGCGGCCCACCCTCTATCCCTACGAGAGCTCAGCCCACGCTGCCTAGAGACTGTCACCATGGCAACCAGTTCTAATTAAGAATTTCAGGGTCCCTCCCCGTCGAGTCCGTGGAGTCGAAAGGACACTCGACTCGTCCGCTCTCCAACTCTGAATGTCTTTATTGGATGTGGATGAATTCCCTAGCCTCATGCGGTTAAGGTGAACTAAGGTATCTCCAAGTCTAGCTGTTGGTTCCCACTTGGTTTGCATTTATGTACTTCAGTTTCCTTATCTGTTCCTGCCTTGCCTTATGGTATCTTTTAAAAGATACCACACTGTGAACACCTTTTTGTTGATGACACCCACTAAATAAAGTTCGGGGAGAGGGGGGCCTCAAACACCTACCAAGTGATAGGCTCCTTTGCATAGATTCTCTCACTTGATTCTGTGAAGAAAATGATGTTATCTTCATTTCCCAAAAAGAAGAAACTGAAAATTATGATTGTAATTTACTTGCTTCAGGGTCTCAAAACTTCTAGTCACAGCGTTGGAATTAGAGCCCAGGTCGTTAGTCTCCGAGGCCTTCTTGACCATTTTTCCTTAACTCTTCTCTGTCTCTGAAGATTCAACAGTGTAATGTGTCTATATAATGCCTTATTTCTGTTGGGCTTTATAGTTTACAAGTTGTTTTCATCCTTTAATCCTTACCACTGCCCCTTGAAGTACAGGACATTATCATTATGATTCTATTTTATAGATGAGGAAACATCCTTAAGACACAGTGACTTTGCTCAAGGTCACACACAACCCAGGTCTTTTCACTGGATTTACCCACTTCAGTGGATTTCACCCATTAGTTTTCCAGTACACCAAGATTCCCCTCTTTATTCTCGGCATAATGCATATTATACTTTCTTACATAATATGTATTTTTTTCTACATTTTGTTTGCTCTTCTTCCCCATCCCCCCCAAGTCTCTTTTTTTCCTTCTTAGACTGGCGCTGAAATGACTTTAAATGATTCTAATTTTCTTACCAAACTAAACACAAGCCTATTATTTCCCAGCCTTACTAAGGGGAGTGGGGGAGGGAGAAGCTGTGTTGTTTTACAGCTGTATAGATGATAGCATCATTACTGCATACTGCCATGTCCATGGCAACATATAATTCAGCAAAAACATAGTAATTCTTCCTCTGCTTTGAAAAATATGTTCTCACCAATTATCCACCCCATCCTCTCCATTTATTGTTTCTAGGTTTCAGTTGGATTTAGGGTCTGAAATATCGCTGTTTCCAGTCAGTTATTAATGGCAGAAGAGGGAGTCTCCCTACCAACTGTTTTCATATAATACTGTATTCTAAATCCCTGACCTGATACTGTTATTTTAAGATTAAGTGGGTTGAGCTCACTAATGTACATTATGGAATCATGTAAAATAGTTCCTTTCTCTCCCCTAGCTTGAGATTAAATAATACATGATGGAAAATATATAGTGAGTAATGTACTTGAGTCCTCTATAACTATTTATTTTTTTCTCAAAAGTAAATGGAAAGATCCAATAAGTCTGTTTCCAGACATGCTGAATGTATTTATACATGTTTTGTTTAAAACATCACCAGTGTAGAGCAACTTCTCTATGAGATGCCAAGAAAGTCTTTAAACTCCTCATTTGTCTTTGTTTTCAATCCACCTGTTCATTTCCATTTCAGAATGTCTAGAAAAGATTGACAAAACTTTTTAGGCTGCAAACCTAAATGTCCACAATTTTACATTCCAACAACTGTTCAAGATCTCAGAATTTGACATGATGACATTTAGTTCAAGAGTACATAGCTGTCAACTGTAACAATTCACATCAAGTTACACCTTCCTACTTTGTAATGTAGTTGCCTCCCTCATCTAGATGACATTAATTTATGACTCAACCCACATATCAAAGGGAAGTGATATAAATTGGGGAAACATTACTACTAAGAGTAAAAGAAAAAGCCCACACCTTTATATTACTATAAATGAGAGGCGTGTTTGCTTATATTAATAAAGATATTCCTTCACAAAGATCAATATGGATCCTATTGTATCTATTTGACAAAGTAGCTTTACCAGAAGGTTGCTGATAACAGTGCTGAAATCTCAGAGCTGTGTAGGAAGATTTTGTGATTGTCAAGAAGTCTTTTTAGTAATTATTCTGCATCGCTTTGCTTTCCTTTTCAGTTTCTCTCCTCTTATGCTTCCTTAATCCGCTTTCTTACTATTAAAAAATACTGAGCTATGAAAAGCTTAATGTGTATCAAAGGTATTAAAATTTTTGAGATTTTTTTTTCTCATAAAAATTGTTCTCCCTCTAACCCTTAGCTCTTTGGAGGAAATGCACAGTGTCTTTTTATGGACATTAATGGTAATGATATTTATAAGGTTAAAAAGAATTGTTGACCCCCTCCCCCGCCATGTCTCACTTTTTCTTATTTTTCCCCCTTTTCCCCTTCCTTAAAAAAAAAATTGAGCTTCTGCCTTCCTGCTGCTTGCTGTACGGGTCTGCGACCCCTTCTCTGTGCACCTTGTCACCATGCCTCGGAAAATTGAGGAAATCAAGGACTTTCTGCTCACAGCTAGGCGAAAGGATGCCAAGTCGGTCAAGATCAAGAAAAATAAGGATAATGTGAAGTTTAAAGTTCGATGCAGCAGATACCGTGGTCATCACGGACAAAGAGAAGGCAGAGAAACTGAAGCAGTCTCTGCCCCCTGGTTTGGCAGTGAAGGAGCTGAAATGAACCAGACACGCTGATTTGAACTGTATTAAAATTTTTAAAAATTAAAAAAAAAATTGAAAAAAAGAATTGTTGAGTTTGGCAGCTTCTTATACAATCCAGCAATTCCTCCCCCAGATATTTCCTCATGACAGATATTTCTACACACACACACACCCCAAACACACACAAAAAAACCTTGTACATAAATGTTCAGAGAATTTGTATTCATAACAGTTCAAACCTGGAAACAACCAAGATGTCCATCAACGGGTAAATGGATAAACAAATTAGTGTATTCATACAATGGAATACTACTCAGCAATAAAAATAAACTATTGATAAACACAACACCATGGATTAATCTCAAAAACATGCTGGGCCAGGCATGGTGGTCCATACCTGTAATCTTAGCACCTTGGGAGCAAGACCCTATCTCAAAAGAAAAAAAGAAAAAGAAAAAGAAAATCCAGACATGAAAGAGTACATACTATATGAAATTTATATACACTTCACTGATATGAAATTCTAAAACAGACAAAATTAACCCATAGTGAGAGAAAGCAGATTCCTGGTTGTCTGGGACTGAAGTGGGGTGGGAGATTCATGGCAAAGGAGTAAGAGGTAACTTTTTGAAGTGATTAAAATGTTCCATGTCTTGACTAGGGGTAACCACAAATGGGTGTATTCATTTGTCAAAAATTATTGCCAGGTAGTGATGAGTGCTTGTAGTCCCAGCTACTTGGGAAACTGAGGCAAGAGGGATGCTTGAGCTCAGGAGTTGAAGGCTATAGTGCATGATGATGGTGCCTGTGAGTAGCCACTGCACTCCAGCCTGGGCAACATAGCAAGACCCCATCTCAAAAAAAAAAAACAAAAAAAACTACCAAAGTATGCCCTTAGTATATTGCATGGAAATTATACCTCAATAAAGTTGATTTTTATCCTCAGGTTGGGATAAGCAAAAAATAAATTAATTAATAAATAAAGTTGATTTTTAAAGTTAAAAATAATTGATTACTGTGTTCATCTTTGTCCTTTTTGCTCTCGTATCCATTTCTTCTTGCTCTGCTCTATATTGTAGGAATGCTAACCCTTTCGGGCTATATTCACTAGGCTCCTGTGACAGCTGACTTTCAGCTGGGATTTGCCCAATAGGAGGCACTAACAAGCAATTGGAAGGTGAGAGGAAGGGAGAAAAGCCCTGTCCCCTATCTCAGTCCTGAGATCCTTTGTAACTCCTTTGTAGCTTTCTTCCTCCTGAACGTGCCCACTGGAATTCCAGCTTTTGCCAGTGACCCCAGGCTTTGAGCTCCAGAAACATCATCTTCCTCCACTTGTCCTTTAACCTAGGGATGGTAATGGCTTCCAGTTTCCTAATCTTTTAGGAATTAGAGAAGGGAATTTTGGCTTTTTAGCTCTTCAATCACTTGTGTAACCCATTTCTTGTATATAATTCTCTTGTTTTTTTAACTAGATCTGATCGGTACGGTAACAAATTATACCTTAAGGAACTATTATAAAATGGATTGTATATGTAAGAGAACTATAAATGGATTAAGCCAAAGTTAAAGCAAGTTTAAGCCTCCAAAGGTGCTACTGGAACACTGAGTTTACTTGAAGCAAAGTTAACAGTAAATTATTTCCTAGACTTAGAAGTTAAGGATAGGTTGCAAGTGGTTCAGGGAGAAGGAGGGAAGGATGAATAGGTAAAGCACAGGGGATTTTTAGAGCAGTGAAAACTGTTCTGTATGACACTGTAATGGTAGATACATGCCATTATACATTTGTCAAAACCCACAGAATGTGCAACAGTGAACCTACTTTAAACTATGGACTTCAGTTATCAACAGTGTATTAATAATGGCTCATCAATTATAACCATTGTATCACACTAATGCAAGATGTTAATAATAAGGGAAACTGAGTACTGCAGTGGGAGAAGACATATATTGGAACTCTGTCCTTTCTACTCAACTTTTCTGTAAACCTAAAACTACTCTAAAAAATAGTGTATTAATTTTAAAAAGTTAATAAAGTATTCAATATATGAAAAATTGGTGCTTGTAACTAAGCAAAATCTATAACTTCTCAATTTATCTCCAATTAACATTAGCTTGGCTATGCAAGTCTAGAATATTCTGTCTATTCTAAAGTATGCCTGCTTTATCTATTTATAAGAAAAATAGAAATACTATTTCCAAAAGCTGCTAATTTTGATTTGCTAATTGTAAAAAAATCATTGATTTGAAGCTAATATCATATCTGAAATAGTAAAATATACTTTATGTTTACACTAAATAGACACTTTATATTTTTGAGAGAATATAATAACAATAACACATATATAGCTCAAATCCAGTGGCCTAAAAAGTTGATGTCTATGTAAATGTTTAAGGCTAGGCCTAATGATGAATGTTAAAGTTACAAATATAAAAATGTATATCTTTAAATCATATTTTAAAACCGAAGGGAAGGCGAATATGTAAATAATTTTTAAAAATTAATTTGATTTTATTATCAAATCGACTAGTTGGGAGAAACAGAATATTTGACAACTGAAAACACAGAGAACATAGAAGTGTTTTCAGATAGAAACTTCCTCTTCTTCTACATCTTACATCAATAAATATAATTTAAAAATCATCCCTATTTGCTGCCAAAATAGTACCGCTAAAATAATTTTTTATTCCTCTTCTATTGTTGGTCAATATGGTCATATTGCAGCAATAGTCCAAAGCTGTCAAAATTAATATTCATGTCAGATAATAGTAGGCCTACATGCATCATATTTCACCAGTTTTAAAAAGCAAAGAAGTAAGTCCCCAAAACAGGGTCTAACCTTTTTTCTTAATGTTTTAACCATTAATAATAAGAATCTTTCTTTTTATCAAGCATGGTTTTTTGAGGAACCAAAATTATTTTTGAACTTATTATGATAAGCTTATGAAAGAGGAAGAGGGCAAGGATAAAGGTAATTTGATGATGGCAGTATACATGGCTAATAATGTGATATGTTCCTTCAATAATGAATAGTTCTTTTAAAATGAATTGACTCTATTAAAAAATCCACTTCGACATTTTGCTACTAGTTTTCACTTTACAAAAACCAAAAAAGTGCTTTGTGGTAAAAATTTACCTTTATTATCATCTAATTTTTAATTACTTTTATATATTTGCTTAGAATAAATACATGCAAGAATTATATTGATCATGTCCTATTCTAGTCAGCAGATGCCTATTCCTCACTCTGGAACATTCATCAAAAAAAACCACCTGCTTTTTAAAATGAAAATGAAACAGTCAACTAAATATGAAAACTCTTCACAGAGGTGTCTTCTATGCTTAGATAGTACTGAATATTCTTAGTGTAGCTGATGGAATTGAGCCACAGTGACATTTGTGATTAGAAGGGAAAATGGAAATGATTCCATTAACCTAGAGTGCTGTAACATATGGTAATCATAGGTGGTAGAATAGCTGTGTCGGACAAGGGTGGAACTAAGCCATGTGGCACAGACATTATCAATTACCACACGTGGTAACCATGCTGACACAATGCATCTTTTCCAGAAAGAAAATGATTTGGGCATATGAAGTAGTTTGCTGTCTTATGAAAGAGTGCTCTGTAAATGACATATCTGGCACCAATATAGTACATGTGGTTTCCAGTAATTCTGCAAGATCTGAGAATCAAGTTAATGATCTCCATACACCTAAATAATAGTACACCATGCAGTTATTTGCACCAAGACAGCAAATCAAAATATGTATGTAAAATAAACCCAGGTCCTTCACACATAAAATTATCAATTTTTAAAATATCCTTTTAAATTGTCACATAAAATTCTGAAATTTTGTATCTCTAGAAATATATGCCAATGATTTCATGACTCTGTAAACTATAAAGCCTATGGGCAAAAGTTCAAGATTAGATCTAGGCTGTACTGGAAGATGGAATTGCAATTATTTGTTCCATCTATTGGCAAAAATATTGAATTAGAAACATGACAATTGTGTTTTAAGAAAATTTAATATGCAAACATTCCTTCAGATAAGTGCAGTATGGATTGAAGAAGAGAGACTGAAGGCTGGAAATAGTTGGGCAGTGGGAGATAATGGGAGTACAGAAAAGAATGGTGTCGGTGGGAGTGAAGATGAACGGAAAAAGCTACAACACACTGGACAGGACGATCTGAAATCCTAAGAAGGCACCTAAAGACACAATTTGGGAAGATCTGACAAGCCACCCAGAGAGGTTCTCAGGTGGCTGTTCCAGTTATCTATTCCTGCAAAACAAACTCCCTCAACACTTGGTGGCTAGAAGAAAAACCATATTACTGTATTTCACAGCTCAGTACGTTGACTGGGTTCAGCTAGGTGATTCTCACTTTGCAGGTCTCAGAAGCTGCAGTCAGGTAGCAGTTGGGGATAAAGTATCTGAAGGCTCAATTGGGCTAGATGTCCAAGATGACTTATATTACACTTTTTTCATTTATATTGAAAAAAATGGAAAAATGACTAAACTGTAAATATTTTTCAAGACATTTGATTGCATTGCCAAGCTGGCAGTTGATGCTGGCTATTGACTGGGAGCTCACCTAGGGCTGTCAGTTGTAATGCTTACACATAACATTTCCAACATGGTGGCCTTACAGTAGTCAGACTTCTTACATGGTGGCTTAGGGCTTCAACAGTGAGAGTTCTATAGAATACAAGTAGTGAAAGTGGGGGTAAAAAGTGAGTGTTCTAGTGAGTAAGACAGAAGGTGCATAGTCTTTTATGACCTAGTCTCATAAGTCAATAGTATTACTTCTACCGAGCACCATTGGTCAAAGCAGTAATAGGGCTATTTTAAATTCAAGAGAAGGCGACATAATACACCTCATCTTCTGATGGGAGGAATGTCAAAGAATTTGTTTTAAACTACCATAATGACATTTATCTTCATGAATTTATACAAAGTTCAGCAAATTGAACTTGGAGGCTCAGAAATATGAGTGTTGCAAATTTAATTACATGAAGGGATGTTAACTAATACTAACAAATCTCACAAGAATATATAAAAATCACAATG